GGGCGGGCGCTCGGCCCGGCGGTCACCGGCTCCGCTGCGGGGCCCCGGTCGGCGTGGAATCCTGAAGACTGATTGAGAAACGTGGCTTGGGATTTTTCGATCAAATCAGATGTTAGACTCTGAACTGCATGGGGTTCGTCCCGAAAATGTCGGGGCAGGGCGACTTCCTGCTCAATCATCTTTTCACAGCGTGGTTACTGATGGAGAAGGAGGGAATGTTTCTCGCCCTAGGCACTAAAACGGTCTCTTCTGGTGTTTACTGACTGATCCTCTTTAAAGAGAGAAAGAAAGGAAGGCTGCTTTATTCAGAGTAGTGCTGAATTTCTCCATTTTTACCACTTCCTAGGTCACTCCTGTCAGAAAGCTGCATGTTTCCAGAAATCAAGGAAAATAAAATCGCCCAAATTCAAGCAAGCTTTTTCAATAATCTAAAGCAAATTTAGACTCCATAATTTGGCAAAACACCATTGCACTTTTTAACATTTACTTGCTACTCTTGTTAGTTACCTAAAGCATGTTTCTCTTTTGATTGCTGTGAACTCTTACTGTTTCCCTAGAGCCCTTCTAAAAGCTTGCTGTTTTTCTGTGCGTGGAATGCTTCTGGTTATTATCTCTCACCTCTGGCTTTAAAAATATAATTTTTAATTGGTACATAATTTGTCTTTAAGGAGTGCCTGTGCCTTGCTGGGAATCCTACAAAGTATAAAAATTAAAATTAAAAATTCACAGTATTAAAATATTCAAATGTTAAGCTACTTTTTAGCAATAGTTTAACAAACCAAGCTTTTTTTCACTGTCATTGTGTATCATAGCCATCTTTAGAAAGCTGTACTGTATTGAAATAATGTAATGGTTTATAGTTTTTCAAGAAGTTTTAAAGAGCTGTGCGTTTTGAAGAAACTGAGAAAACTAATATGAGAATACTTAGATGAATCAAAGGACAAAGCATTTAAAGACACTGGATTAAACCAAACTCTTATTTCTGCTCAAGTTAAAATATGATCAAGCAGTGGCTATCCTAAGATTAAGGTATTTCCATTGTAAAAGTCAATGTCTACTGTGTCAGAAAAAAACCACAACAAAACAGGTCTAAATGTATTACTCTTGTAATTTCAGTATTCCTTAGCCTATTTAAACTTCTTGTACCTGTGCTTGTGTGGCCTCAGATTCCTGCAGGGAATGTTAAGGCCTCTTATTAGTAACTATCATTATGTTACTGTTATTTTCTGATTTGACTCAAAAGCTTACTGCTTTCTGTACCAAAGAGAAAAAAGACAAAACCAGGGACTGAACTGATCATTTCAGTGTTACTAAGTAGCATGGTTGGGATACCCGGGATTAAAGCAGTCTAAAGCTTTCCCAATGCACTAGTTTTATACTGGAAGAGCTAGTTTAATTGAACCAGAATGTGAAAATTCTGTAATTTTGGACAGATTTTGTAGGATGCCTGAATTGTTTGGATAACACTAGAAGTTTGCCCTTTGGAAGGACTGGCAAGAAAAATGGGATTAGTCTTAGTGTTGGCATTCTACTTGGAAAAAATGGGAATGCCTTTTCCTTGGATTTGTAATACTGTGGAGTTAGTTGCTTTTGTTAAAGGCTTTAGGCTGAATGACATGATTTCCGAAATGTTTCATAGTGGTTCTGTTTGCTTTTCATCCTGAGAATCTTAGAGATCAGCTTGCATTTAAATCTATGATTGGAGAATAACAGATCCTACTAACAGTAGGATACTAATAACCAGTTACTTCTGGCTGTAAAAGCTGACAGTTACCTTCACCAGGGTAATTCAGTCAGTAAGGAGTGGTCTAATGTTAAAGTTGGCTTTGAGAACTAGTGAAAATACTGTAAACCAAATGATTATGGAAGTAGACTTTGCGTCACTGATCAGAAGCTCAAGGTAAACAAAATAGATAATATGCTAATTTTAAAAAGGCAAACCTTGAGAAATCAGACTGATTAGTTTTTCAGACAGTGCAGTTCAGTTGTTGAATTAATTTCCAACAAGATCTTTTAAATTTTTAATTTTTTTTAAGTGTGTGGTAAATACCAGGAAAAAGAAAAAGTGGACAGATTCAGAGAATGTATGTTGTAAAGAAAAAATACCACCCAGACTTAAATACAAAGTGTTTATACAAAGATATTTTGTCTCAGGAAGTCCCTAAACCACAGCTCACTGCTGACAGGAAGCTACATCTGGAAAAGAATTACTGTACCTTTGCCTTTCTCCAGTATCCTTTTTTGAAGCATTCTCTTCTTTCTGACATGATTCAACATATGTTTAAAAATGTTGAAATGAATCACTATTATAATATTTAATCTTCTGCAATATATTTTTCCTGATTCATGGGAAAAGCATTAGCAAATAGTTGGGTTTTGGGGAAAAATGAAAAAAAGTAATTGCCATACTCTTGAGAAAATCAGATTTTTTTTGGAGGGAAAGCTTTTCCAGAAAGTTCCAGACAGCTTCAGAATTTTTAAAACTGTTTCATAAAATCATAGAATGGTTTGGGTTGGAAGAGACCTTAAAGAACATCTAGTTCTAACCTCCCTGGCCTAGGCTGTGGATAAGGGAATGATTTGCACCCATCAGAGGTGATTTTAGACATAAAGTCCTAAATATAATTCCATCTGAATTACTAGTAACTTCTTATTTCACACACTAGGATCTTATTTTTAGAGTTGCTTGGTTTCTGCTGCACTTGTTTGTTTTTCTATATTAGGCTTAACTGCTACAGTGAGAAAGGTGGGAAGATGTATTCCAGTGAGGTCTCCCCTCAGCCTCTTTTTCTTCACCTGCAAAAGCTGAGGGTATTGGGGGCAAGTTACTCTTGGGAAGGTTCCAATTGGATACAAGAAGAAAAATTTTCACAATGAGAGAAATCAACCATTGGCAGAATCTCCCCAGGGAAGTGGTGGATTCCCAAACATGAGACAATTCTAAGTTTCAGCTGGACCGGCTGCTGGGCCATCTTGTCTAGACTGTGCTTTTGCCAGGAAAGGTTGGACTAGATAATCCCTGGAGTCCCTTGCAACTTTACAGTCTATGAAAACTTCATAGAGGTCAGCAGCAGTCCTTGCATGACATGCAGCATGATGGTAGGATGCTCAGTTGATTACTTGATCTATCAAAAGGTAAGGAAGAATCTCTTTTAGGAAATACCTGTTTTCTCTGAAGGGCTTTGAATCCAGTGTCAAACTTAGAAATCAGTTCCCTAAAATTGTAGTGCTTTTTTTTTTCCCTTTAAAACTTGTGAGTTTTCAACCATGCTGAAATTCCACTGTAGAAGCACTAGTGTTTCCAGCTGTCTCTGCCAAGCATTAGTAGAAAATGTTTTTTATATTGAGTCACTGTTATATTCCCTGTATTCCTAGCAGGTCTGATGTTACCCATTAGTTTAGTTTAAAGGCTCTTTGGAGTACATGATGGTAGACATGAGAAACCATGGGAAGGTTAGAGAAGTTTGTAAAGACTAGTCTGTATTTGTAACACTCACAGAAGTAAAACCACTGCAGTTAAAAGCATTGGCACTTTTGCCAGTGATGTCTTCTTCCACAGAAAGATTATTTCTTTTCTAGAAAAAAGTAAATTGAAAACTGGGTAGACCAATGTTAAAAATGAAAAGTGAAGTGTAATATAATGGTTTAAGTTAGCAGAGTGCTCTGCCTGAGGTAGATGTTTCAGTGTTGAGCTTTTGATTAAAGTAGCAAATGACAGTTATTAGTGAACAAAGTTCAGGAAAAGAAATGCTTCCATCCAAAACTACTCAGTGAATTAAGCTCAATTCATAAATAGTCTGCAAAGATTAAACCCACATTTTTTTACTAATTTATTAGTAAGTGAAGATTTATGAACTCCAAGCTCATTATTTCTTATTTAATATTTTTTTAAAAATCAAAGAGTTAGATAGAAAAGTTTAAGACACATATTTATGTTGTGCTTTAACTTTGTTCTTAATTTTGTTCTTATGACTCAGGACACAAAATAGATACAACTGAGAAAGCAGTCTGAGGCAATGTGTTATACGATCACATTTGTGGATAGAGCAATCATAAGGAACAAACCAGGTTTTCTTAGAGTACTCCAAGTCCTACCAGGGCTAACCAGTGTATACATTTGGTTTTGTAGAAAATTTTTCCAGCCCTTAGTCCATGGAAAATACCCAGTCTGCTTGAAACCAATGATACCACAAAACTGTTGGCTTTTCTGACTATGAGCTCATCTCCTAAGAATGGTGTCTTTGGTTTTACAGACTGCTGACTGTAGTGATTTGGACTTTCTACTGCTTAGCTAATTGATAAGTTTCCTCTGTCCTCTGCTTTATTTAGTATGAAGCAACCACTCTCTATGGGAAAAGGCTTTCATAAATATTGCTGAGTACAAATTGGAAACATATTTTTGTCTCTTCTGGTTTTCCTATCAGACTAGTGTCATTATTCAACTTTTGGGGAGAAAAAAGGGAAAATAATTACTTTCCATAGGTTTCTTTCAGTTGTGCCTGCCAGCTACTGCATGTCTTGTAGACATTGATTCCTGTAGGAGTGGAATGCTCTCTACCCACA